AGATGTGTATAAGAGATCGGCATACGTCTATAAAGGATTAATGATAATGTACAAATAAACAGTGATAAGGGTGAACAATGAATGAGCAAGTGGTGGACTGTGGGAAAGCATTACTATAGTTAATGCATGGGGGAATTAATTCACCCATGGTTAATGGATAAGCTAAACATAAGGCATAACTAAAATCAAGAACAGGAAGCGGCTATGAAAAAAAAATTTAAATATATAAAATTATACAAAGCAATATTGTAAATTAAATAAATGTGGGCCTATAAAAGTATTGAAAGGCAAATAAAACATAGTAATAATGATGGAAGCAGGAAGCCAAAATGATATAGGCCTATGTAGTATTGTATAAGGCATATAATTTATATAGATATAGTGCATTTTGAAAAAATGAAACAGATAAGTTCTACAATAGTATAAGCTAGAGTGAAAATACCAACAATAATATATAATAATAGGCCTAACAGAATAATAATAATAAAACCAGAATAAATAAGATTGAGCCACACAACCGTTAGGCCACACTGCTTCCACAGAAACTTTTGATAATGATTCAGTTTACTTTTAGTTTATAATATATTTTAACGGATTCTGTTTATTGCTCATTTATGGGCGTCAGTCTCCGTATAATTATTACTTCTTTTGACAAATAGCAGTAAAGAGAATTTTGAATGCTCCGACTGTAGTGACTACAAATAAAAACAGTTCTGAAGCCCAGTATGCTCCTGTTGTATCACGAAGAAATCCTGAAAAAATAAACAAAATATACAAGATAAAAGATACAAGATACAAGATTCTTTTATTGTCACTGGTACATAAAATACAAGTAAAATTCTTCTTCCCGATGCATATATGCAGTACTCTGATTAATATGCTGTGGTTATGACAATATTAAGCTGTGGTTATGACAATATTAAGCAATATGTTGTTTATTTATTTATATATTCACAATATTTAACCAGAATAGCCCAATCACTCAAAAAGACTGGGTCCCTTGGGGCCCTGGGAAATACAATGACAAAAAGAAAACATAAACAAGTAAAACACAAAGCAGTAAAAAATACAATTACAAAAATAAAAAATCAAATATTGCTGACTTTAAGTTACTTTTAAAAATATTTAAAAAATTTGTTGAGGGTTATCAAAAAAATATTAGCATGTTAAACCTTCCAACACATTTTATTGGGTGTGTACAGTAACTGGTGTGAACTGTATTATTCAGACAGAAATTTGGTGGATTAAGCACTCAGCATTTTTTACCGCCATCAAGGAGATTAAGGGTATTTTCACACACACACACAGCGTAAGGCTAGCGTAGCTGCTGCAGCTTACACCGGCGTAAGCTAGTCTACACATTAAAATTCCAATGTGTCCACACAAACGGCGTTTGCTACATTAATTCTGCCGTTAAAATAGTAATATAGGCCTATGGGAAGCTTTCAGTTTTAAATACCGTAATGTGCGGGTGCTTAACTGTAGTAAGATATATCTACAGTGAATTGTTGTAAGTGAGCTTATATGATTACTGTATTTTAAATGAACAATTTTACTTCTGATTTTTTAGCTAACATTGTGGAACAATTATTGGTATTGTGGTTTTTTTTATAGACAGTCTAAATAGATTAACCATTTCAATTATAGAGAGCACCAGACCAGTCATTAAAGCATCACTGGTGTTAGCTCCGTGGCGTTCACTAATCTGGGATCTGCAGGTAGTGTTAATGACGCCACGGAGGTGGCATTATGCGTGGCGTTAATAACGCCACTGCCTAGTTCACACACAAAAGCATATTTTTTTGTTGACTGTCTGTCTGAAGGATTAAGCAAAAATTATTAAATTAATCGTCATAAAATTTAATGGAGTGGTAAATTTTGTTTTAGAAAGAGATAAGATCAAGTTCACAGAAGTTCAAAGAAATTTCTAAAAGTTACCCCATGAGTATAAAAAAGATAGAATGGCCATAAACAACCTGCATGTATTATTTGGTATTTAGGCAAAGGTTGGAGATACAGTATGCACACTATAGATTGACTGATAAATAGTATTATGGACTAAACATAAAATAATATCAAGAATTTTAACATGATATTCCAGCTGCCACATTCCCAGAAACACAATAGAGAAATATGCAATTAAAAATAAAAAAGATGAAGAAATAGTTTCATCCGGTTTGAATATACTGTAATATTGTAAATAAAATTGGTTTTTCCTAAACCACAACAAGAACACCTTCCAATATGTCCAAAAAATATTATTTTGTTATATTAGATACAAGTGCTTGTATCTTGTATTAGACTTATTTTACAAAAAGAAAAAGGGAGGAAATATGGAAGGTTTTTTCTTCAAAAATCATTAGGATATGCACCAAGTTGAAGTACAAAAAGAAAAAAAGTGCTAGGATGATGTTCATAGCTGAAATATGTTCCCTCATTTTATAGATATTTAGACAAAGCCATTTTATTTGACGTTTCGCTTTTATTAAAAGGGACCTAGAAAGATTTTTTTTTCTAGAGGGGGTTTTTGATATGACATTAATAATAGAATCCTTAAAAATCATTTTTTGGCAATTGTTTATTAAGTTATTGGCCATTATACATTTTTACCCCTTTACCGGCATGACGTCACTGTAAGGTAATGTAACCAAAGATCTTATAAATAGCACCGCCTAGGGTATTCACCGCGTGCAATATTTGCGTGCATGCATAACCATGGCTGTAACTTCTTTTTTTTTGACAACCGTTGCATATCAAGTCTTATGCATAATCAGTACATCGGCCTAAAATTAAGTGAGACTGTACACGTAAGCTTGTAATGGCCGAACATAAGCTAAAGATGTTTTTATTTGAACCAGAAAGACATAAAGATAACCTTTAAATCGAAGAAGCACATGATGACCATTCAAAAGTAGATGAGGAGGTGGAAAATATGCTCAATAATTTTAACTTTTGCGTTTGTGGCCAATGTCAGCTAATGCCTACGATAGAAGAATACTGTGTTGTAGGAAAGAAGATGTTTTTACGCTAAAACGGACAAAAACTCTTCTGCTTGTATTTCGAATACAGGGACATTTAAGAGTGCATGTATGGATACTGAAATTTTATAAATTATCATGGTAATCCAAATGTTGACAATGCCATTTTCTTCAGCATCACACTTTTATTGGCTTTTATAAAGTTAGAAGAACAGACAGGGTCAGTAATGCGGATCTATACAGTAAATCAAACGAAATTGAACTATCAATTGAAATTTAAAAGAAAACTTAAAAATTGACTAGGACACATGCTACAACTACCACTGTACCAGAACAGACACCAGGAGAGTAGAGTTGAATCGCTTAGTGGTTATTATGCTTGTCTTCCAGTCTGGGGTCCTGGGTTCCATTTTAGTGTTGCTGGATTTTTTTCTCACGACCAAAAAAAAACTCCACTTCCTCATATTGAGATTTAGTTTGTGTAAAGCATTGCGTGTGTGTGTTTGTCTTGTGAAAAAGGATTGTCACCTACAAGTAGAGCAGTGATATATTTGCTATTGACAGTCATTGGTGCATGTGCTGTGTGCCTAACTAAATAAAGTAAAAGATACCCTTAAAGAACATTGAGGAAAGCAAAAGGAAGAAGAGGAAGACACGCAATGTAATAATTTGATGTAGTGATCAGTGATAGATTTATATGTAGTGGGCCCAGCCTTCCCGGGCCGGCCAGCTTTTTAAAATTATTTTTAAAAATGGATAAAAAAGAAAATTAAATTAAAGTCTGAGAGTGGTATTCCCGGCCACCTTGAGGTGTCAAAATAATAAATTTATGAAAGTGCCTCCATGGGCCACCTCTATTCCAAATTCCTTGATCTGCAACTGGAGATAATTTGTAGAATTGAATATAGTATATCGTTTGACTTTTTGTGACTTATAACTTTAGGTGCATTTAAATTCAGTACTTTTAATAATTTTAAAATCTTCCAAAGCTGTAGACCAAAAAGTGGATTGCAGTGATAGAAGAAACCTGTACAATAAAAAAATGATTAAAAAAATATGGTAGATGAGTGCTTTTGGTGGCCAAGATAGATAATTTATATAATTGCTATTTTAACTATCAAAATGTCTGCTCCTACAGGACCTGATATAGCCTCCGAAATCAGTGGTGGTACTAGTAGTTGTCCTACTTTGTACTAAGTGGTCCAACAGGAGATAGGGTCGTGAAGTAAAGCCTTGGTAGAAATTCAGTTGCTAATCCTGCTGCTGCCTTAAGAAAATGCCAATCTTCATGCCATTTTATGTCCTGAGATGTTTAGAATCAAAAATTTTAAAGAGAAAAAAATAATTTTGTTTTGGTAGGAGATGTACTTTTTGCCACTGTCTTTGATTTAAACACTTTACAGAAAATGCTGTAGCACCCTGAAATATACTTGGTTTACCCATTATACAAATTATGTTTTTTTTTATATTCAACAAAATAAAAGTGAAACTACCTGATTTATAGGAGTTGCTAGTGTTGAGCCGATGCCTCTTATCAGCGTACGTATTGAAAATACCAAAGTAAAATAGCGCTGAAAGTACATATCTAAAATATAATAACTTGAAAAATTGGCCAAACATGCTGCATATCCTGAAATTAGAATTTTTCAAGATTATCACACCTTTAAAAATGTTGTTTTATTGAATTTTATTAAAATCATAATATTCAAAAAAAAAAAAAAATAGAGCGCACTTCGAGGGTATATACCTCCGCCAAACAATCCTTCCCTGTATATAGCATTCTCCCTTTGAAAAAAGTATAATTAAAACATTTATATCTTAACCTTCACCGGGATTCAAAACCGGGACCTGTCGCTTACAAATCGAACGTCATACCATCTAGACCACGAATGCGTTCTAGAAAGTTTCATTCAGATCCGTTGATCAGTTTTTGAGATATTTAAGTCAGGGACATTCCGTTTTAAGGGTTTCCACACGCGTGCACCCTTCTCTGGAACGTCACCAAATGGAATGTTTTCTTCCCTGGCCATGACAAACTATTCCAGAAAGGTTTTCAGATGCATTTGTCATTTTTTAGATATCTAGGTCTGATAAATTCCCTTTAACTGATCCTCAAACCACATTCTACTCCGGATAATCACCAAACTTCTAAGAAGTTTTACAGTATTCAGCTCCATTGATGAGTTTTTGAGATATTCACATCTGGGGCGTTTGCACTTTATATGACCCCCAAATCTAGATAGTAACCAAAATGTAATCAGTTCTTTCTTGTAGCTTGGTTAATTCTTCCAGAAAGTTTCATTTAGATCCATTTTTGATCGGATATTAATATATTCATGTCTGGGACGTTAGCACTTTAAATAATCTCCCAAATTCACACCCGAATCTGGATTGTCACTAAAAACGTAATAATGACTTTCAGAAAGTTTCATACAGATCATTATCAGTTTTTGAGATATCTAGTGCGGAGTTTTTTTTTTCTTTAAATGGTCTGACGCATGTATACCTGAACATGTAGGTACAGTAGATCGCTAACAAACATACAAACACACACAAACAAATCAAGCGGAAAATAACCTCTTTCGGGAGGTAATGACAAAGTTAGCCACTGAACAACTTGTAAAAAAATTAATCTCTAAAATCTGAATTTCTACAGTATGCTCCAAATTATTTCCAGCATTTTCAAAAATGGCAATGTCATAACCAGACTCTTACTATTTATTATCGATGAAAATTTTTCATGGAATAAGCAAAGTGATAATGTAAAACTAAAG